GGTGGATTGATTCAGTGACTGGGATAATTGGGATGGGAGTGTCAGAGATAGTGCGATTGGCACAGGACAGAGCAGAGTTTAGGGCTGTTGTACATAGGGTGGCTATGAGTTGCAAGTGACTCGATGGCACATAACAACAACAACATCACAATAGCTAATTACAAGATTAAATACTTGGGAGTAAATTTAACCAGAAGCACGAAGTACCTATTCAAAGAAAATTACAAAACATTACTACAAGAAATAAGAAGAGACCTGGAAAAGTGGAAGAATATCCCTTGCTCATGGATAGGAAGACTCAATATTGTGAAAATGGCAAAACTGCCAAAGGCAATTTACATGTTTAATGGACTCCAAATACAATTACCATTACAATACATACTCCCAATACAATTACCAATACAATACATACTCCCAATACAAATACCATTCCCATTCTTCGACACTATGGAAAAAGGCACTCTCCAGTTTCATTTGGAATGGATAGAAGCTGCAAATAAGCAAAGCACCACTTAAAAATAGAAGAAAGGTAAGAGGTATCTCACTCCCTGATTTCAAATCCTATTACACTGCCACAGTGGTGAAGACAGCATGGTACTGGTACAATGACAGACACATAGATCAATGGAATAGAATTGTGAACCTGGAAATCAGCCCATCTACGTATGGTAAACTGATTTTTGACAAGGAGATGAAATCGGTTAAGTGGGGAAATTACAAATGGTGTTGGCAAAATTGGAAAAGTATCTGAAAAAGGCTCAAACAAGATCCATACCTCATTCCATACACAAAAACCAACTCAAGGTGGATCATGGACCTAGGACTAAAATCAAGGACTATAATCTTCATTAAAGAAAAGCTTGGAAACACTAGAAGTCCTAATCTACAATATAAACGGTCTTCCAAGTATCCTGAAAAACCTACAACCAGGAGAAGATCAAATAAATGAATGGGACTTTCTAAGACTCAAATCCCTATGCACATCCAAAAACTTCTCCAACAGGGTAAAAAGGGAAGCCACAGACTGGGACTTATATCTAGAATTTATAAAATACTTGAGCACCACAGCAAGATAAAGGTAAATAATCCAATAGAAAAATGGGCACAGGATATGAACAGACACTTCACCAAAAAGACATTCAGATGATCAACAAGCACATGAAGAAATGTTCAAAATCCCTGATTCTAAGAGACATGCAAATCAAAACAGCTATGATATATCATCTCACCCCTGTCAGAATAGCAAAATTTAACAGAACAGCAAGCAGCAAATGCTGGAGAGGTTGTGGAGAAACTGGAACCCTTATTCACTGTTGGTGGGAGTGTAAAATGGGCAACCACTGTGGAAGCGGTATGGTGCTTTCTCAAAAAGTTGCAAATAGAGATACCATTTGAACCAGCAAATCCACTACTGGGAATATATCCCAAAGAGACCATAACTGACATCCAAGCAGATATATCCACACCCATGTTTATTGCGGATTTGTTCACAATAGCAAGGAGTTGAAAACAACCTAAGTGCCCATCAACAAACAAATGGATAGAGAAGCTCCGGTATATTCACACAATGGAATACTATGTTGTTGTTGTTATGTGCCATCGAGTCACTTGCAACTCATAGCGACCCTATGTACAAGAGTTCTAAATGCTGTTCTATCCTGTGCCAACGTAGCCATCTCAAATGCACTTATTCTCAGTGCTACAGTCACAGAATCGATCCATCTCATCGAAGGAGGTCTTCCTCTCCTTTGCCGCCTCTCCACTCTACCAAGCATGATGTCCCTCTCCAAGGACCAGTCCCTCCTTACAACATGCCCAAAGTATGCCATACGAAGCTTCAGAATCCTTGACTCCAAGGAGCATTCCGGCTTCACCTTCTCCAGGACAAACCTGTTTGTTTTCCTAGCAGTCCATGGTATGTTCAACACTCGTCTCCAGCACCACAGCTCAAAGGCATCAATTCTCTTTCTATCAAACCTATTCACTATGCTGCATTGAAAAACAAGGAATATTATTCAAAATGGGTGACCCTGGAGCACATTATGCTGAGTGAAATATCTCAATCACAAAAGGACAAATACTGCATGGTGCCACTGTTATAAAACAGGACTGACCTCAGGGTTGGTAGAAGACTGAGAAAGATGGGTTCAATAATGTATACTGCATTGAAACAGATGAGGAAGAAAACTGTTTCAAAGGGATATGTTATTAGGTATTTTTGTCATGACAGGAGTCCAGAGCAAAGGCTGCATAGTGGAGTGGACCTGGGGGGAGGGATTGTAAAACAATGAAAGAATTTTTATTTTACTTTTCCAAGAGGGTGGTGTACTAGGGGGGAGGGTTGGGAGGGGAAAAAAGTGCAACAATGAATGAATGGAAACCCAAAGTCTCTGTAAATTTTCATTGAAATTATTAATAAATTAAAAAAAATACTTGTATTCTGAAGCCTTTCTGAGGAAGAGCAGAAGAGATTACTGTTTAGAATTCAGTTCCTAAATTCCTAAAAGCCTAGTCAGGGCTTTTTCTTATTTATCAGAAGGAAGATTTTCCATTTCATTAGTTTGGCTTAATCTAGAACTCACTGTATTTTAATTAGTATAGCTTCTGCAAAATGTCAAAAAAAATGTGATGTCATAAGAAGTGGTGTGGGGAACAGTGTTGAGGCCTAGTGGCTCCCTGTGAACATCCCCCACCCGCAGCTGCAGTATGGCCAGTCAGTGGTCTTCAATGTTACTTACCTGTTACTACTGAAGATTGACTCTGTTCCAGCACATCCATCTGATCCTTCACCATTTCCAAGTTTTCCAACTTCAGGAAGCAAAAGGAGAAGAAAACAGCATGAGACTTATTAACATATCTAACAGCTAAATTGTGCACCACCTTCTTCTCTGTCCCTGAGGGTTAGTCTCCACCTCCTACACCCTTCCCCTGCTGGGATCCAGCCACACAGGGCAGACATCTTTATCCCAGGCTACTCCATCAGGTACTCCATCTCAGGCCCATGCTCTACAACTGGACCTTGTTGCAAATGCATGTGGGTGTCTGGACCCAGAAAGAACAGAACGGGGCACTGGGGCTGGGTAGTGCTGATTGTCTGCCTGCCTCCTTCACCTCACCTCCCAAAACGTATCACTCCTGCCAAGTACACAGGTCACTCACCATTGGCTGGGGCAGCAGGGCAGGTACTGGGGGCATGTCAACTAGAGCTGAAGGAGCAAGATCCAAGGTGAAGTCTCTGTCGCCCAACTCCACTGGGGTCCCCAGCGAGGCAGAGGATGTTGGGATGTGCTCCTGGTAGAGCAGAGTGCGCAGCTTCTCATCCAGGCTCTTGATGGTGTTGTCCACAAAGCCCACCCTGGGGGGCGGTCCTTCTCCATCAGACTCCAAGGCTATAGAAGGCTGGGTGGGAGCAGTAGGCCCCAGTGGAGGGCTGGGGGGCTGGGGAGCAACTGGGCTAGGGGGGCTTGGTTCAGCTGCCAGACCTGGCAGGGGCTCCCCATGAATGCTAGCTTCCAGGGCTGGGACAAGCTCCCCTGGATATTGGGCACAGACTTCCTGGCCAGTGCTATGTGTGGCATGCTGGGTAGCAAGAGTCTCCATAGGTGCCAGGGGCATCTCACACTCTCTGCTAAGTCCGTGAGGGGTACCACTACCTCCTGCCTGGAGGGTAGTTTCCATTGCTGGCTCTGGCATGGTGGCAGCTGCTGGCACTGCCTTGTCCTTGGGTAGATTAGTAACAGACAAGGGGGCTTTCCTGGAGTCACTGAGGCTGGTTTGTTTCAGAAGGTGTGGGCCAGCAAGGAGGCCATGTGACTCCTTTGAGGACAGTTGGTTTATACAGGGGATTGGATCTAAAAGAAACAGAAATACACCCTTGTGCCAGTCTTTTCTGAGTTCCTTCCAGTCCTTTATCTTCTGCGAGCTGGTCTTGGCTCTAGCACACTTGTCTTTGTCCTGTTTCTCCAACATGCCAAGTATGCTGTAACTCACTCAGGTCTCCAAACTAGTTGTCCCCTTGTCCCAACATTTCAGATCTAATATTATTTCCTATGACTGACTGAACTAGTGCCAACATCCCTCTTGTGTTTTTTTTTTTCTCATAGGTTGCATACAGAACCTTCTATCTGTTTGCCTTCCCACATCCTCCCTACAAAAAAATATAAGCCTCATACAAACATGGGTCTTATCTATTCTGCACCTCCTATCCACTGGACCATGAAGGGAAAACAAATCAATGAATGTATAAAATGTTCTGGGTGTGTGCACCCTGACCAAGGACAATACAGAGACAGAATTTATGATGCTGTGCATTCTAATCCCTTTCCCATTACTTCCTACGGTGTCTCTTTCCATTCCCCTCCACCCCCCATCCTGCAGTTCTCCCACTACTCACATGAATTCTTTAAGTTAATTATTTTTCTTGGCAATTATCACCTCTCCTGTCCAACATTTGGGTCAGTAACCTTTCTTGTCCTAATGAATATTATTTTTGTTTTCCATATGCAGCATCCTTTTCTTCCCTCATTAGGTAGCACAGAATTTTATTAGGGATCAACTGTACCCTACATTCAACTCCATAAGAGTAGTCTAACAGGTCTGAGTCAGGCTGTGTTTTCCATCCACTTGGTGACAAGATTGCTTTAGAGATAGATGTATGGTGGTCTCATGGGTAGGGAGTTGCACTGCCAAACGAAAGATGCATGGTTTGAATCCTCGAGCTACAGAAAGATGGACAATCTTCTCCCATGTGATTTATAGCCTCTGAAAACATCTTGGAGGGTCAGCTGGGACTCTTTCAATTTGATGGTAATTATTTGTTGAGTTCACCATGGGAGTGGCACTACGGACAGCAGATCTGAACTTTGTCCTATCCTGTATCATCCTCACAATCTCTGGCATACTTGAGCCCATTGCTGCAGTCACTGTGTCAATTCATCAATCCACCTGGTTGAGGGTCTTGTTCTTTCCAAGCATGATGTCCCTCTCCAAGGAATAGTAACATGCCCAAAGGTATGTGAGATGAAGCTTTATCATCTTTAGCTCCAAAAGCCACTCTGGCTGTACCTTTTCCAAGATTTATCTGTTTGCTCTTTTGGTAGTCCATGGATATTCAGTACTCTTCTCCAATACCACAACTCAAAGGCATCATTTTTTCTTTTGCCATCATTGTCCGGATCTGAGATGTACAGCAAATGACTGAAAAGACCATGGCTGACATCAGGCACACTTTAATCTTCAAACTAACATGATTGCTCCTCAATAATTTGTAGAGGTCCCTAACTACAAAGTTTCTCAGTGCAATATGTCTCCTGATCTCCTGACTCCTGTTACCACCAAGTGCCTTTATTGTGGATCCAAGTAAGATGAAGTCACTGACAGTTTCAATCTTTTCTCCACAGCAACTATATGAACAACAGCTCTGAACTTGGCCCAATCCTGAGCCAAAAATCATGGTCTCTGACACAACCCACAGAGGTTTTTATTTCTTCTTTCAGCTGTGTTAAATTTTGCTTTGTGTGTATAAAGGGTACATTATGAAATATATGTAAATATAGAATTATTATATCTTTCTAGTGAATGAAACTTTCACCATTAAGCTTGTACTTTACAAGCTGCTTTGTTTGATATAAAAATAGCTTGGCCTTTCCATGTTATATCTTTTTCTAGTCTTTTAATCTTTAGTAGTCTTCTGTTTCTTATATTCAAAACACAGTTGTTTGTTACTGTTATTGCATTTAAAGCCTGATCTATTAACACTACTACTAAGGACTTTTAAAACTCTGGTGGCCTAGTGGTAAGAAGCTGTGCTGCAACCCTGAAGGGATGAAGTTTGAAACTACCAGTTGCTCTGTGGGAGAAAGGTGGGCAATCTCCTCCCATGCCCTGGAAAAACCGCTGGAGGGTCAGCTATGAGTTGTCTCTGACACTATTGTACACAAAAACAAAGATTTCTTTTTTTTTACTAGTTGAAACTTCATTTATTTAAATAATATTTCTGAAATTATCTCCAAGTGCTATTACAAAAGACTTTTAATTCTTTTGAGCAAGTGGACTAATTTGGAGAAGATCTACCCAGTTCTGTATGAAACCAAGTCACTACTGGTTTTTTGTTTTTTTAATTTTATATTGGTTTGCTTACAAAGTTTGTATACATTGTGTTCCACACTATTCTCCATTCACGTTGTGGTTTTTTTTTTTTTAAGAAATTTCCTTTTTTTAAAAAAAAATAATTTTAATGAATGTTTACAGAGATTTTGGATTTCCATTCATTCATTGTTGCACTTTTCTCCCTGCCCACCCCTCCCCCCAAGTTCACTCTTCTCTTTGAAAAGTAAAAGAAAAATAATTTCATTAGTATATAATCACACCCCCCCCCACCCCGATCCTCCCTGAGTACACTCCACTATGTAACCTTCCTTCTGGACTCTTGTCATAACCATATTACCCAATTATATATCGCTTTTAAACTGTTCTCTCCCTCATCTGATTCAATGCAGTATACATAATTTATCCAATTTTTCTCAGTCTTACCCCAAACCTGATGTGAGTCCTGTTCTACAACAGTGGCATTATGCAGTATTTGTCTTTTTGTGACTGAGATATTTCACTCAGCATAATGTCCTCCAGGGTCACCCATTTTGAATAATATTGCATGAGTTCCTTGTTTTTCAATGTAGCATGGTATTTCATTGTGTGAATATACCAGAGCTTCTCTATCCATTCATTTGTTGATGGGCCCTTAGGTTGTTTCCAATTCTTTGCTATTGTGAATAACAAGGATTTCTATGTGCCTGTTTATGTTGCTTTCCCCCTCTTCTACTTTCCTTTTTATTTATTTAAAAATTATATTCCATATTAGGGAGCTCTGGTGGTCTAGTGGCAAGAAGCTGCATTGCAATTCCAAAGGCATGTGGTTCTAGGCTACCAGGCACTTATGGGAGAAGGATGGACACTCTCTTTCTGTGTGATTAACTGCTTCTGAAAACCCACTGGAAGGTCAACCATTGATAAGTTCTGATTCTATGGTACACAACAACAATCCCACATTAGCATGGAAATGATGTGCTATTTTAGGATTATTTACCTAGGGTCATTCTGAGGAACCTTAGTGGTACAGTGGTTAAGTGCTCATCTCCTAACTGGCTAACACTTTGAATCCATGATGACACGTATGCTTTCAGAAAGAGTGTAGCGTTAGAAACCCTAGGGGCAGTGTGGACTCTGTCCTATGGGGTTGCTAGGAGCTAGCAGTGTTTTTGAAACCCTAGGGGCAGAGTAGACTCTGCCCTTACAGGGTTGCTATGAGCTGGTAGTGGTTTGGAAACCCAAGGGACAGCATGGACTCTGCCCACAGGGCCTAGGGGCAGAGTGGACTCTGTCCTACAGGGTTTCTAGGAGCTGGTGGTGTGTCTGGTTGGCATTACTCTCTTCCCTGACAATGCAAACATTTACAGTCCTTTAAGTCTACTCTTCTGCTCTATAAATATACTCATATTTCCATGTACTTAAGAATTCCAAATACATTTTTAAAAACCTCACAAGACATTATGAGCATTATAGTCAGTGTTCACTTGGATTTACCTGTATAGTTATAATTTCATTCATTACTTTCTGTATCTTCTTGACTTCTGCCCTTTCATCTAGAGTCACAATTTTGCTGAAAAATATTTTCTTTATTAGTTTTAAAAAAGAAAATGTATTTGTTGTTGCTGCTGCTGTATAGAGTCGAAATAGTCCCACAGCTGACCCTCTGGCGAGTTTTCTCCAGTAGAGCAGATGGTGGCCTCAAACCACATGCCTTCATGATTGCAGTACAGCTCCTAGCCAATAGGTTACCAGAGCACCTGTCTTTCAGTAGTCTTTTAATTGAAGTGTACACATGAGATCCCTCTACTTAATCTTTTCTCTGGTAGGATCCTGCCATCAGGTATGAAATTTGAAGTTGCTACTAATTTCCTTTCTTTTCAGAATATTTTGTTTCTACTGAAATGTCAGGTGTCTAAATTGTTCCTGCTTTAAGAGAAGCTACTTCCTTCTAGAATCTTACACTCTACTATGTGTCTTTGGTTTTCAGTATTTTAACAACAATACATTTAAGTGTGGGTTTTCTGTTTGTTTAGTTTTATTTTTAAAGTCTCAGAGTTTGGTAACCTTTCAATTATCTTAACTGATTTTTGCAAATAAAAAACTTTTGTTTTCATGATATCTGATTTATCGATTTATTCTATGAATCAGGTTTTTTTGCTAAGTCACAGGTCACAAAGATTTTCTCCCATGCTTTCTTCTGGAGGCAATATAGTGTCATGTTTTATATTTGGATACAATGTTTATCATTTTTAAAGTAGACACTATTTGGTTATAGACATGCTCTTCCTTCCGTTCTGAATTTGAGGAAAATTTTTGTCACAGGTAGATACTATATTTTAAATGCCTTTTCTGTTTAATGATATTATCATGCTTTCTTCTTCATTAGATTACTAGTATACTTCAGTGTTGAAAAAAATTCATTGGAAAATTAAAACACAACAGGTTTTGCCTATCAGTATCACAAAGAAGGGGAGAAGGCTGAATAGACAAAGACACAAAGGATACTATAAAAAATTGCTGGTAAGAGTATAGGTGACTTCAGATATTTCTGCTGAAAACATGCCAATAGACATTTATAAACTTATCCTAAGAAAATTTTAAATGTCTAGATTTAGATTATAGTAATCAATAGGAATAGTCAAGTAATTTGCAACAAATAACATTTAATGAGAATTGCTGTTGTTATGTGCTGTCGAGTCACCTGTGACTCATAGCCACCCTATGCACAACAGCCTTAACCCCTGCTCTATCCTGTGCCAATCTT